TTCTTTGCTATTCATAAGGTTTTCCCTGGCCAATTCTTTGAGAAGTGGACAGCCTCTTCCTTCTTCCTAGTCTGTCTCAGTCTATAAGCTGGGCTTTTACCTGTGCACCAGGTGCATCTCACTGGGTTTTAAACACCAGAGGCTCAGCCTCAAAACTCATGTCCACATGTCACCACAGTAGGACAAACCGACAGACAAGTTCGTCTTGCTGTTGGAGACCTCTCCTATCACCCCCACCTGGGTCCCTGTGGCTGACTGTACCTCTCTCTGGCTTCCTGGCTTTTAATCGCCTTTCTCCTGCTCTTCTGGCCTGCTGCTTTGGGCGTCCCTGAGTTGTCCCTGGGGCTGACTGCTCCTCTGTCCGGGTTCCTGGCTTTTATCCCCTTTCTCCTGCTCTTCCGGCCTGCTACTCCGGGCGGGCCTGAGTTTCCTCTCCTCATGTAATCCCTTCAGCTGATTGCTCTTCTCTCTGGCTTCCTGGCTTTTAATCCCCTTTCCCCTGCTCTTCCCACCTGCTACTTTGGGCATCTCTGAGTTGTCTCTCCTAACCTGTAACCCTGGGGCTGACTGCTCTTCTGTCTGCGTTCCTGGCTTTTATCCCCTTTCTCCTGCTCTTCTGGCCTGCTACTCCAGGCGGGCCTGAGTTTCCTTCTAATAAATACCTTCCCACAAATGAAAGTGAATTCACAACCAAGCCCAAAGTTTGCAGGTTAGAGGATGTTCAGTGGCCTATCTGATCTAAAACCTTCAACTGTGGACACGGATTTAATTGCACATTGACAGATAAGCTTTTAGCCCAGATACTATGTAGTACTGCTGTGCTGCCTCATCCACATGCCCTTTACCAAGCTAGTGTTCCATTCCCCTAGTTGCTATCAGTGTTGGCTACTAACTGGCCACAGTGCCCCTTTCTCTGGAGAATTGCCCTGGCCTAATGAGAACCATTTGACCCAGGAAGTTACTTCTACCACACCACCACCACCACTGCTGTACCTACAGTGTAATTATGCTTCAGATCCCCCCATAGATCCTATGCCTTAGAACAATGCTAGCTTTTACCTGAGACCACATCATTGCTTTCTCTTTGCCTATCTTGCTTCCCTCACTCTATTACAGATTTCTCCTGAAGAGTACACACTCATTAAATCACCTGCACCCAACTCACCATATCTCAGGTTCTTCCAGCAAGACATGCTATTAGCCTGGTGAACAATCTACTGGAAAATAATTAGCCAAAGTTGTGAAAATGACACGGTGACTCTTACAATCAAGGTGGCTTCCTCCAGTGATTTTAAACCCATGGCGTGGGTGCAAGACTTGAAATGCTCTACATTAATTCTATAGTGATAAGGAGACTAAGACCTTCAAGACTAAAAAGAGACCAGCATAATGAAATTTAACAATACACATTCAACTCTTAGGGACCAGGTATAAATGGAGGGTGAGGAAATTGTGGTAACACCAAGGATGGCAGAAAAAGGTGAAATCACTTTTGCCCATAAGGTGACTGAGCCAACAGCATAATGCCACTGTGAAGTAAGAAACAAATAAAAAAAAATACAGAATATAACAGATAAGAATTGGGGAGTAAATCAATCTTTTTAAAATTTTAAAACAGTAAACCTGCAAAAGGTAGAACCTGTGTACGGCAGAAACCTGTCACAGAAGAAAACCTCAAATATTTTCCACTAATAGCAGTAGAAAAGTGGTAAGGCTGTACTTGTCAAAGGCGGAAAATTCATGAGACTCCAGAGAACAAGCAAGTCCCATTCAGCTCCAGTTCGCAGAGGTTTCAATGTACTAATATGAAAAAGCCCAAGAAGGGACCTAAGCAATTACAGCAGTCGTTGTCCTTCGAGACCTTAAAGAAAGAACTAGAAATAATCTACCATAAATGATCTAGATATTTACCTGCTTTCAAGTAGGGTACTTGATAAGTTTTCAAAATCTATTTTAATGTAGCTTCTGGCTAACGACAGTATCAGAGCATGACTTATGAGGGAAGGCTAAAAGGGAGTTTCCAAGGAGGCCTCAGTGGATGGATGGCATGGGTTCCCTTAGTGAATTGCTATGGTCCAGGGTCTGACCCTCAGGTTTGTGGCCTCACCAACCTAATTTTATCACTATACAATGGGTCTCTTGGAGTAGATTCTCATTAACCAAGCTCATAGAAACAAGTAATAATGCCAAAATGAGAATTAATGAGTAATGCAACCATCACATAGACCATCGTGAACTAATGCATTTTCTCATTATAACTAAGTTTCATGGGAAGTTAGTAAGAGTTTGGTTAAGATGAAATCAGAAGTTTAATGAGAACAAATTAATAAGTTTGATGTATCTATTGCCCATAGGGATGATTTTGCCAATAACATAATCAAAGGCCTTTTGGCCAGAGTAAAACCTGCAAAAGTCAGAACATATATAAGGCAGAAATCAGTCAGAGAAGGAAAACTCAAATATTCTTCCACTAAAATGAAAGTGGTCAGATTATACTCTGTCAAAGGCAGAAAACTTGTAAGACCCAGAAAACAAGGCAGTCCCATTGAGTTCTGGCTCTCACAGGTTTCTCACTATAATCCTTGGCATCTGTGACAGCTATCAATTTACAGCCTCTCATTTCAAATCCACCCCTCATTGTCCTGCTTGTGACTCTGGAACATCCCTCCCTGCTGGCTAGCATGAGTGAGCTTTATCAATAGAGGAGGTTGGAGGACACTGGAGGAGGATGTGGCTTTTCTTCCTGGTTCTAGTGTGCTCCCTTTATTTGCTCCCAGCAGTGTCACCCCCAGTGAGTTTCAGTGGTTCATCGCTGTGGGTGGCTCCCCCAGAAAGTTCTGTGCTATGAACCTCCCAACAGGCAGCTGCTAGCACCAAGAGGGTGGCTCTTCAGTGAGTTCTGCCACAGAGCAACCCAGCCTCTGACCCAAGTAAATTAGCACTTATTTTTACATATTAGTTCATCCCGTCACTCCAGAGAGAAGCTTCCTAGCATATTCTGCCGACATGGCACCTCATCCACTATCTCCATCTACCAGGCCATCCCTATGCCCACTCTAACAAAATCTGGACTGTAGCCCTGGCTGGGGGCAGTGGCACCCTCTTGCCCATTACTTCCTTCCTTGGGTGCTCGGTCTCAGCCCTAGAGACTCCCTATATCTGTCATTCCTGTATTCTTCAGTTATTTTTACATCTTAGTAGATAATTCCCTGTTAAAGTTAATAATTCTTAAAATTAAACTTTTCTTGATCAGGTTACTATATGATTTCCATCAACTGATTACAGCTCAACTAATACACTATTCATCTCCATCTTAGGAACTACCTTGCTAAAGGGATCACAATATTTAAAAACTAGACTATTGGTCTTTGAATATTACGGATGTAATTGGAGAATTTTATTAGAGACTTTAATTCTTAATCTAGAGTTAGAAATTATGCTGGAATTTCAGATTCTAGGGAGAACAAATAGATTATTTCTAAGGGCCTTTTCACAATACTTAATGACAGCCACAAAGGACTCTGATCTCTTCAAACAAACAAAAAAAGACCTAGAAAATGAGCAGTGCTACACATAACAGCCCTCTTCATCCTGCACCCAAAATGGCTCCTCACCCCTTTCATGGAAAGCCTGGGACTCATGCGTTTCATTCTTGCACTGGTTTTCCAAGGGCTGGAGTTGACTACTCAGGGACTTCAATGCTTCCATGGATGTCATTTCCTTCCAGATGATTTCCTGGCCATGAGCTATAACCTAGGAGTAATCAAGTACCAGCACTATGATTCTGAGGAAATACAAGAGGAAAGCCCCTAAAGTAACAGTGCAGGATGGGAGGAGTCCAAAGCTTATTCAGATGATTATGGCTTGAACTCCATGATTAATTCAAAACTTACAAACTTTATAATTCTCCTCTGATAACGAAATCAATGCCCCAACCAAATCATGGCCTCTCCATTAACCCACCATAGGTTAAAAATAATAATGATGATGATTTTTACCTGTTGCCTTGGTTCATCAAGTTCTTTCTCCAGCTCCTCCAGCACAGTCACAGCTTCCTCTCCACTTTTTGGCCGATGCTCTCTCACCCAGGCCTGTAGCTCCTCAGGCAGGATGGCCAGGAACTGCTCCAGCACCAGCTGCTCCAGAATCTGCTCCTTGGAGCATGTCTCTGGCCTCAGCCACTAGCGGCAGAGCTCCCAGAGTTGGCTCAGAGCCTCCCGCGGCCCAGAGGAGTCAGAGTAATCAAACTGCCTAAACTGCTGGCGGAAGATTTCCTGGCTATGGAGGACGCTTCCCTGAAGACCAAATTCCCGCCTGCAAACATAATTCTCTTCTTCATCCTTCACAATTATAAGTTCTTCTTGTTCTTTTGGAACGTGATAGGCAAAGGCTGTGGACTCTCCTAACATTCTCAGAAGAGACAGTTTGAAAAGGCTCCTTAGTTAAGGAAGAGAGGGGAGTAATGTCTTTGTCTGAGAGATTCCTTTTGAATTTCAATCCTTCAGGAAGCTTCTGAGTTATAAGATGCTAATGTTACACAGGAAAAAAAAAAAAAAAAAGAAATGTGCTCAGAATATAAACCCAGGTTTCTGAAGGCCAGTTGCCAGAGAGTGCAGTACTTGAAAGAAAACTGACTAAAAGGGAGCTTCCATATAATGGATGCATTCATAGGTGACTCAGGATTTTTTGAGGATGTAAATAGAAAATTTATAAGTACAGCCAAAATCCTTTCAATCTTTAATAATAACATTAGGAATAATAAGCAGTGTTTATCACAGAAAGCAGGAAAAACACTGTGGTATATTATTACCCCTCAGAATAATAATACCTACCATTTTACTGAGCACCTACTAGATGCTAACCACTATCTGGATACTTAACAAAAATTTTATCTAATCTTCCCACAATTCTATAAGAATAATTGTTACTATGCTTATTTTCCAAATCAGAATACTAGCATACTAGCTGTCCAACAAGCAGAACAGGGCTTTGCAACCGAAGGAATAAGCTCTTTCTGTTATGCCATGGCGCCTCCCAAAAGAAAGGAATTGTCATTGTTGTTCTCAGGTGCCACTGAGTCAGCTCTGACTAATAGTGACCCTAAGTACAACAGAATAAAACACTGCCCCATCCTGCAGCATCCTCACAATCTTCGCTGTGCTTTGAGCCTATTGCTACAGCCACTGTGCCAATCCATGTCAATGAGGGTCTTCCCATTTTTTGCTGACCCTCTACTTTACCATGCATGATATCTTTCTCCAGGGAACGGCCACTCCTTACAATAGGAGCAAAACAGGTGAGACGAAGTCTGGCCATTTGCTTCTAAGTAGCATTCTGGCTGCACTTCTTCCAGGATGTATTTGTTCTTCTGGCAGTCCATGGTATTTTCAGTGTTCTTCACCAACAGCACAACTCAAAAGCATCAACTCTTCTTCGGTCTTCCTTATTCATTGTCCAGCTTTCGAATCCGTATGAGGCAATTGAAAATACCATGGCTTGGATAGGTGCACCTTAGACTTTAATGTGACATCTTTGCTTTTTAACATTTCAAAGAGGTCTTTTGCAGCAGATTTGCTCAGTGCATGCATTATAATGTCTGATTTGTGTGTATGTGTGTGTGCACATGAGCTTTGAGTGCAAATTTACATAGCAAAGTTGTTTTACATTCAACAGTTCATACACATCTGGTTTCATGGCCCCAATTACCATCCCCAACCATAAGAAACTCTTCTCCTCTCTCCTCCCCATGGCCTCCCCCTCCCTGTGCCCCTCTCATCCATGCATTCCTGTCTGTCCAGCCTTCCCTCTATGTGCATGCTTCCCCTCCAGCGTCTCATGGCTGCTTGATCCAAGGGGTGTATCTCCCTACAGCAGGTGGGTGCACCGACCTGGGGTAGATGTTCTGTATGTGGGTCTTTCTACTATTGGGCTGAGAGCCAATCCAGGTAGGTGAGTCCATTTCTAGGCTCGAAGGGTAACCCAGGGCCTTAGTCTTAGGTTTCCACCAGTCTCTATCCAACCAGTAATTCTGGTCATTTTTGTGTTTTTAATTTTGTTCCACATTTTTCCTTCCACTCTATCCAGGTTTGATTCCTTTCCGAGCGGTTATGGTGTCTAATGTTTTGACTGCTGCTTTTATGGGTGCTGACTATGGATCCAAGTAAAATGAAAACCCTGACATCTTCAGACTTTTCTCCATTTATTGTGATGTTGCTTATTGGTCTAGTTGTAAGGATTTTTGTTTTCTTTATGTTTAGGTGTGATCCATACTGAAGGCTGTAGTCTTTGATCTTCATCAGTAAATGCTTCAAGTCATCTTCACGTTCAACAAGCAAAGTTGTGTCATCTACATATCACAGGTTGTTCATGAGTCTTCCTCCAATTCTGATGCCATGTTTCTTCTTCATATAATCCAGCTTCTCAGATTATTTGCTTAGCACACAGATTGAACAAGTATGGTGAAGAGATACAACACTGACACACACCCTTCCTCATTTTAAACCATACAGTATCCCCTTGTTCTCTTTGAACAACTGTGTTTTGGTCTATGTACAGGTTCCTCATGAGTACAATTAAGTGTTCTGGAATTCCCATTCTTTGCAATGTTATCCATAATTTGTTACGATCCACACAGTTGAATGCCTCTGCACAGTCAATAAAACACAGGTAAACATCTTTCTGGTAGTCTTTGCTTTCAGCCAAGATCAAACTGATATCTCCAGTGATATCCCTCATTCCATATCCTCTTCTGAATCCAGCCTGAATTTCTGGATGTTCCCTGTCAATATACTACTGCAACTGTTTTTTGAATTATCTTCAGCAAAAGTTTACTTGCATGTGATACTTGCATATGATATTGTTCAGTAATTTCCACATTCTGTTGGGTCCATTTTCTTTGGAATGGGCACAAATATCTCTTCCAATCAGTTGGCCAGGTAGCTGTCTTCCAAATTTCTTGGCACAAACGAGTGAGCAATTCTAGCACTGTATCCATTTGTTGAAATATCTCCCTGAGTATTCCATCAGTTCCTGGAGCCCTGTTTTTTGTCAGTTCTTTCAGTGAAGCTTGGACTTCTTCCTTCAATACCATTGGTTCTTGATTATATGCTACCTCTTGAAATGGGTAAACGTCAACCAATTCTTTTTGGTAAAATGACTCTATGTATTCCTCCCATCTTTTTTTGACACTTCCTTCATTGCCCAGTATTCTACCCTTAGAATCCTTCAGTATTGCAATTCAAGGCTTGATTTTTTCTTCAGTTCTTTCAGCTTGAAAAAAGGTGAGTGTGTTCTTCCCTTCTGGTTTTCTAACTCCAGGTCTTTACACATTTCTTTATAATACTTTACTTTGTCTTCTCAAGCTACCCTTTGACATCTTCTGTTCAATTCTTTTATTACAGCTTTTCTTCCATTTGCTTTAGCTACTCTACATTCAAGATCAAGTTTCAGAGTCTCTTCTGACATCCATTTTGGACTTTTCTTCCTTTCTTATCTTTTTAATGACTTTTTTGCTTTCTTCATGGATGATGTTCTTGATGCCATCCCACAACTCATCTGGTCTTTGGTCACTGGTGTTCAATGTGTCAAATCTGTTCTTCAGATACTCTCTAAATCCAGATGGGACATAATCAAGGTCATATTCCAGCTTTAATGGACTTGTTTTAATTTTATTTCAACATTGTTTTCTACTTTCTGTGTATAAATCCTATACTTCTTTTATTAAATTTATTCCTAAATATCTTATTCTTTTTGATGCTATGATAAATAAAATTGTTTCTTGATTTCACTTTTGGACTGTTCTTTGTCAGTGTATACAAATACAATTGATTTTTGTATACTGATCTTCCATCCCATAACCCTGCTGAACTAGTTCATTAGTTCTAATGCTTCTTAGTTTATTTCTTAGGATTTTTATATATAAGATCACATTTTCTTTAAATAAAAGATAGATCTTCCTTTCCAATGTGGCTAGCCTTCCCCCTTACTTTCTTAATTGCTTTGTCTTGAACCCATAGTACAATCTTGAATAGAATAAGTGAGAGCACACATCCTTGTCTTATCCCTAATTTAACTGGAAAGTATTAGTCTTTAATCATTAAATATGTGTCAGTTGTAGGTGAGATGTCTTTTATCATGTTGAAGAAGGTTCCTTCTATTCCTACATTCTTAAATGTTCCTATCATGAAGAGGCGTTGCATTTTTTCAAATGATTTTTCTACATGTACTGAAGTGATCCTGTGGTTTTTGTTCTTTATTCTGTTGATGAGGTTTTGGTTTTTTGTTTTTTTTTTTAATTGAATTTCTGATGTGAAACCAACTTTATTCTTATGAGACTCTGAGCAGAGGACCCAACTAATTTGTGACCAGACTACTGACCTACAAAAACTGTGAGATAATAGATATCTGTTGGTTTAACTACTTGGCATTTGGCCAAGTCATCAGTGAGTTGCCTGCCATGTTATCTGCTGATCTTGGAACTATTTCTGGATTGAACTAGCGGCCTGCTGGGTTGCTTGATAATTTATGTACCATGCCATTTTAGTTGTTGGCCTTGGGCTTGTCAGCCTCAGGAGCCAGCAGCTGCCTGAGTTAAGAGACATCTCCAGCTCCAGTGGGCCAGGAGCAAGAGGCAGAAACATATAGAAACATTTTTAGAGAAATGAAAAAGCAAGTCAGACAGACAGGTCAAGGAGCCTTCACCTAGCCCCTAGAGCCAGCACTTTGAACTCAAATTTCTAGCCTCCAAAACTGTAAGAGAATAAATCCCTGTTTGTTAAAAACACCCACTTGTGTTATTTCAGTTAGAGTATCACTAGAGAACCAAAAAAATCATTATAAAATATTGCTCTTTATCTACAGAAATACTGTTTGTCTTAAAGTCTATTTGGTCTAATATGAATATTGTTGTTGTTGTTGTTGTTATTTGCCATCGAGTCGGTCCCGACTCATAGCGACCCCTCCTTGGGTTTCCGAGGCAGTATCACTACGGAAGTAGGATTGCCCAACCTTCCTTCCGAGGATATTAGACAAGTATTATTCCAGGGTTCTGAAGGTTCTTGTTTACATCGTACATCTTTTTCTATCCTTTTCGTCTCAATCTATTTTTGTCTTTTAATCTTAAGTGTATATTATGTTTGTGTATAACATACAGTTGGATCATTTTTTAATTCCATTCTGAAAAATCTCTGCCTTTTAAGTGGAGTGTTTAATCCAATTATAGTTAACATAATTATTGATATGATTGGACCAATGTTTGCCATTCCTTGTATTTGTTCTTTCTATATCTCATGTCCTTCATTTTACTTTATTTCTCCTTTATTGCTTTCTTTCATATTAGATTTTCAGATGTAGATCACCAGGTCTTTCTTCCAAGATACCTCTAAGTGGACTCAAACACCCAACCTTTGGG